CGTTTCGTTCTTTAGGACTTCATCAGACTAAATTTGTTATGTTGGTGCGACTGCACATGCGCATGAGAATGAGGGATACTGAGAAATTTTTATTTGTTACAAAATCTAGCCGATTTGATTCAGATTCTTATTCTTTCCTCATTTGTGTTGGTAGACACATTGTGATCTTTGACCTTCTGCCAAAAACGATGAAATGTTGTAAGACCACGGGCGCAAATTTAACTTTACATGACCTTTCGATGAAGTCCTTGTCTGGACATTTTCCTTGTACTGATTTTTTCCCTTTATCAGAGTAGCGTGTAAAAATTGTGGTCAGTCTTGTTACGGTAGGCAAAATACTAAATCTTTTTTTTTTTAATATACATATGTACACCTGTATTAATAACTTATAGTAATAAACGAATTCTATTACTCACTTAACTTGGTAAAAATACAAAACTCGACTTTCTATGTGTGCGTCCATTTTTTTTGTCTTATACTGTATATTTGGTGTTTTATATTATTTCTATGATTTTCTAATTATTTTCTCATCGGAGATGCTTATTTCACTGGACTCACGAATGTTTAACTGACTGTTTCTTTTCTTTGTTTTATCAACTTTATTCCACTGGGCATTGATATGAACAATGTAAAATGTAAACATAATGCATGAAGTTGATTTCTGTTCACTTTTCGCTGACGGCTCGTACGTGTTTAAATACAGATGTTTTCCTTTTTATATTCTTTGTTTGTTTTTTTTTTTTTTTTGTGTCAATGGCATGAAATGCCGGAAGAAGCAGAAGTTACTTACAGAATTACATTTCTTCGCTTAAAGAGAACAGTAGCAAACGTTATGTTTTGATGGAGATATCAGAACAAAAACCGTGAGAAGATTTACCATTGGGAGTCACTAATTATTTCCAGAGTCGATATGGCTCTACAAACCGCAAATACTTCCTCTACGTCTTCCAGACCGAATGCTGCATGCTTTGATATTAGGCACTAATTTCCGCTGTGATTTTCGCTCATGTATGTAACACAAATATTATATTTGCTGTACTGTACAACTCTTATCAAAGAAGGATATGCTTCAAGATTTCCAGGGAATGCCTAAAATCTCAGTTTGGTTGTCTATCTATATATCTGAAATGAGGTATTACGATTACTTATATTATTAGGACTGTTATCCTCATCTTCATCTTCACAACGTTTCAGCCGTTGTACGCTCTGGTCTTCTTCAAGTGATTTAACGAATTAAAGGGAAATAACTGAAACATCCGGAAGAGGCATGGCGTGTGGAACTAGAACAATCTACCCTGGTAGACGAAATAAAGGGTTCGGTTCGAAATTCTAATCTCCTGAATAAAGCCGGAGCGCACAACGGCCGAAACGTTGTGAATATGGCAATGAAGATGAGGATAACAGAAATATAGACAGATACTGAAAGACCGAAACGTTGTAATAAATATGGCAACAAAGATGAGGACAATAGTCCGAACAATGTAAATAATGTACATAATAACTCATCTCAGAAATATAGACAGATACTGAAGGGCCGAAACGTTGTAATAAATAGGACGACAAAGATGAGGACAATAGTCCGAACAATGTAAACAATGTACATAATAACTCATCTCAGAAATATAGACAGATACTGAAGGGTCGAAACGTTGTAATAAATATGGCAACAAAGATGAGGACAATAGTCCGAATAATGTAAATAGTGTACATAATAACTCATCTCAGAAATATAGACAGATACTGAAGGGCCGAAACGTTGTAATAAATATGGCAACAAAGATGAGGACAATAGTCCGAATAATGTAAATAGTGTACATAATACCTCATCTCAGAAATATAGACAGATACCGAAAGGCCGAAACGTTGTAATAAATATGGCGACAACGATGAGGACAATAGTCCGAATAATGTAAATAATGTACATAATACCTCATGTCAGAAATATAGACAGATACTGAAAGACCGAAACGTTGTAATAAATATGGCAACCAAGATGAGGACAATACTCCGAACAATGTAAATAATGTACATAATAACTCATCTCAGAAATATAGACAGATACTGAAGGGCCGAAACGTTGTGATAAATCTGGCGACAAAGATGAGGACAAAAATCCGAATAATGTAAATAGTGTACATAATACCTCATCTCAGAAATATAGACAGATAATAAAAGGCCGAAATGTTGGAATAAATATGGCGACAAAGATGAGGACAATTGTCCGAATAATGTAAATAGTGTACATAATACCTTATCTCTGAAATATAGACAGATACTGAAGGGCCGAAACGTTGTAATAAATATGGCGACAAAGATGAGGACAAAAATCCGAATAATGTAAATAGTGTACATAATACCTCATCACAGAAATATAGACAGATACTGAAGGACCGAAACGTTGTGATAAATATAGCGACAAAATGAGGACAAAAATCCGAATAATGTAAATAGTGTACATAATACCTCATCTCAGAAATATAGACAGATACTGAAGGGCCGAAACGTTGTAATAAATATGGCGACAAAGATGAGGACAAAAATCCGAATAATATAAATAGTGTACATAATACCTCATCTCAGAAATATAGACAGATACTAAAAGGCCGAAATGTTGTAATAAATATGGCGACAAAGATGAGGACAATAGTCCGAATAATGTAAATAGTGTACATAATACCTCATCTCTGAAATATAGACAGATACTGAAGGGCCGAAACGTTGTGATAAATCTGGCGACAAAGATGAGGACAAAAATCCGAATAATGTAAATAGTGTGCATCATACCTCATCTCAGAAATATAGACAGATACTGAAGGACCGAAACGTTGTGATAAATATGGCGACAAAGATGAGGACAATAATCCGAATAATGTAAATAATGTACAAGATGAACATTTGTAACTAATTTTATATAACAAAAACAACAGAATATGGAAAGAGTATGGAATAACAGATATAAATCAATAAAAGACATTTTATCTGATACTGGGAGTTTGTTCAAGCATTCGGGTTTCATGTATTTGTAACTTCAGATGTTTATAGTGGCAAATAGACGGAATCTCTTTAAAATGTCCAAATAAAAGTCGTTAGTTTATCTTTCCTCAAAGTAAGCTGGATGATTCTGGTTTGATACGTGTACTTCGATTCGCTTCCCGTAATCGAATTACATCCACGGTGAAATTGGGATAATTTCTCCGGTTGTAATATTCTTTTATTCTCTACACATGAACCTGTCGAACAAATCCAGGATCCTCTGGAATGATAGCTATTTGTTCTTTACAGAAAAAGTAATGAGAGTCACTTTAGTCGCGACCTGTTGCGGTCAGAGATTATCGGGAAACTGAAATTACCATTCAAAAATCCTACTTGCTAGCCTATGTCACGTGAGCTAGTGTGTCCGGCATTTACTTACTCCCTGTTTAGTTGTCAAGCGACACAGATTCTTTCTTAGTCTAAACAGAAAATATAAAAAAGAACAGAAGGAAAACCAAATAGGAAGCTCAAAGAAAGCGTGTGTCTTAATGAATCGATCATACGCGGATTTAACATTCAACATTCAATGGAAACCACTTCCTTGGTGTTGTTATCTCATAATTGTAGAGAAAAGAAAAATGCACATTTCATGCATAAACAAGGCAAAATTCTAGCGCAAAGGTTACTGTATCGTGACAAAAAGTTTTCTTATCAGATTCCATTTACAAATCTACTATTTGACCGTGCGTTTAATAGGGTAGCCATATCTGGTTTTGTGTTCCTTCTATTCATCTCAAGGTTCTTCACAAAATCCAAATAAGGATCTCCAATGTAATCGATCCTGACTTAGCATCTCGGCTTCAATCACTGTCTCACCGACATGATGTGACTTTCCTCTGTCTTTTATAAAAAAGTATTTTCAAGGCAACTGCTCTGACAAACTTTTCACCCTGGTGCCCCGAATGTATGAATTTAAGCGTGTTACTTGATTGGCATCTAGGTCCCACAATTTTATTGAATATAACCTCAATTTCTACTCCAATAGTTTCTTCTCTCGTATTTCCAACTTTGAGAACACTCTTCCATTTGCTTACTTCCCTGATAACTACAATCTTCAAAAATTTAAATGCAACGTCAATCGCCATCTTTCGAATTGTACCGCGTTCGTTTTTTATCTTTTCCTCAATCCGCTATACATAATATATTCTCTCACTTTTCTCGGTTCCCAATAGAATAATAAAACAATGTAGCGTCATGTAGATTATATTTTAAATTTATAGTTGGACGAAGGATAACGAACACAATGACTGAAAGTTTTTTTTTGTTTTTTTTTAATGGAAACTACTTTGTCGGTAGTGTTACTCGCAATAAAGAAGAAGATATGGATGTCTTATCTCGTAATTATAAAGAAATGAAAAATGCACTTTTTGACGAGTTAACGAACTTCGTTCATAAACATTGGATGTCAAATGATAAAAGAAAAAAATAGCGCAAAATTCTACCGTAAGAATTGTTCTGTTGCCAGATTTGCCACCACGTTTAAGCGGGTAAGAGACGTCTACAGGAATTTCATGTATGTTTCCTATTCACCCTATTCAGAAGTGATGTTGCTCTAAACAAAAATGCTGTGTCCTTCTTCGTATGCCAGGATTGTAAGAAACGCTGACTGCAAATTGAGGCGGGTCGGGGGTTAAGACTTGTTGGGCTGCGGCAGAAGACGGGAGAAATGCACACGAATGTTACAAATGACAATAAAAAAGATTAGATAGAAGATATTTCCCGCTGAAACTTACGACTGCAGGCAGGAATTATTTACTTTACATAGCTACGTACTTAGGCACCAAAACAAGTCTTGAAGCAGAGCTCTCCCTCTCTTTTTTTCATTTTCTTTCTTTTCCCTCTCTTTCTTCTTAGCTTACTATTCAGAAGTGATATGGCTGTACGCGAAGCCCAACTGAAATTGTAACTGGTTTCTCTGATTAACAATTATGATCCATTCCCCATTACACCACATGCGCAACCCCAAGCTTACAGCACCTGGTGTCCCCAAATGATCATCCATCTATGTACTGACCCGCCTCGACATTGCTTAACTGCGGTGATCGTACGGGAACCGATGATTCAATGCTGTATGGTCGTAAATGTCTAAAAGCAAAAATATTGTTAGTAAATTAGAACTCTCTATTGCAACCTAATTAATAATATAATGTAAGTGACGTGATGAACAGACCTGTTGCTAATGTAGAATATAGCAAATTCAGCATACGATTTTTTCTTTCCTTCTTGTGGTGTACACTTTCAATTTTTTTAGATTGAAGCAATCGCATTGCATAAGTACTAAGTATTTAAGCCCTTCACATCAAAGGACGGTTACCCACCATTATAAAATATCTTTCAATATAGGCGTAGTTTAATTACCTGACACTAAAATCTATTAAGCAGTCATGTCATATGAGCCGGCGTTTATTAACATCATCAGACCGTTAACAATATAAACGTCAAAGTGGATATCTTTACGTATTTCCAATTTCCAGTTGGAGCACCCGGGAAAGAAGATCATAATTATGAATTCCCAGTGAGGAATGAATTCTCAGCGGTGAGAACTTACGACTGAATTCGATTTCATTTAAGAGCCGAACGCCAGTTACTAATAATCCAATTGTGAATTACAATTGACAATTGGATTATTAGTATCCGGAGTTAGTCTTGCTTATTTTAAAAAGCAAGTATCAAAATGCAAATATTAGTAGGGTTGAACTTTCAAATATAGCCCAGTTTGCCTATCGTGATTAAGCGTTTTAATTGATTAAATTAAACTTCGTAAAATTCTTATTTCACACTTCCCGACAGTGGAACCCCCTTCCTATTTCTTGCTTCCCTGATAACTACAATCTTCAAAAATTTAAATGCAACGTCAATCTTCATCTTCTGTTGCCTTGATAACTGTTCTTCTATTTATCCTTTCGGCAATCCGCCCCCACTCCCAATTTTCTCTTACTTTCACTCTCTGTGACCCCCTGCGTCTAAGTGGTACTCCCGCCTTGCTTGGGATGAAATGCTTAAAAGAAAAAAGAAATTTAAGTTTATGTAATATTTAGATATAATGATGGACTGGAAACAAACATTGGAAAAATTAAGGGAGAGAAAGAAAAGATACGGGAAATAGGTATCCATGACAGAGAATGGATAATTTTAGTTCTCACGGATTCAGTTAGTTGTCATTAGTTTAGATAATCACGATTACGCTTGATCTAAGATCGATCGAATAACTTAACACTATTACGTCTCATACTACTAGTGTAAACAATATAACAGAGTAGTAAATATGTTTGTCGCGATACGACGAATTCGAATGACGGTTATTAGTTTTGCTTTCGTAGCCTAATCGGCTAGGCGGTGTCAGAATAAGAGTAAGTTTAAATTACACCGGAACGTTCTTCCTTATTTATGTCCTGTATTGCTACTTTTTTTTTTTTTTTTTATTCTACAATCGCAGAAATGGAGAAACTGATTTTTACGATAAACAGCAGTAAAAAAAAAGCTAAGAAATATCTGATCTAAAATTAGACAATGACTTAATAATGAAGTTTTTACCACCATTTTTTTTTTTTTTTTTTTTTTTTGTTATGACTGGTTCAATATTCTAACTTGTATATATTAATTTTTCCACTTAAGGTTCCGGTGTCTCTCTTTATTTCGAAATGTTATCAATCTCTTTGGAAGTAAAGGATTTTCTCTATTCCTTGAAGTTAAAAGGTATAAACATGTTGGCCTACTATCTGTCACTCGTGTTAATCTTTCATGAGATTACACATCAGAATTACTTTTAGAACATTATACTTTGTTTTTTTTATCAGTAATTCTGTTTTATTGTTTAATATTTTAAACTTATCCACGATTCTCTTTGAAAAGATTGGATCGAAAAGTTTACCGCTAATGAAAATTCACATCTTTCTTTATTTTTTCTTTCCGAGAGTAATTTTCATAATGCCTCCGTGTCTTCATAATGTCTAGATTAATTTTGTACCATTTGATATTATTTAATCTAACATCAGTAATTATCTTTAGGGATTTCGTACAGGTTGCGCACATAAATAACTAACTCGTTTAGCCAGAAATCAGCTTAAATAAATAAATGTCAGAAATGCTAATAAAATATTGGGAAAATTGCGTTTTTGGTATCTGAATAATGTGCTACATTAATTTTCGTTTATTCCATTGGGAAAAAGGGGGTGTCGCCAGTAGAACAGAGTTGAGATGGATCAAGATGGATATTGGGTTGTGTCACGGGTTTAAAGCGCTCCCAATTGACCTACTTTAGCAGTGTGGGTAAAAGCTGGTTCATGGATTTTCTGAGGGGCTTAGTGACAATTGAACACAAACTGTTTAAGACAGAGTTAAATCATGTTAACCAGAAGTCACTATCCATGCTGCTAACATTTTAGCTATCACCTTTTACAATAGGATTGGTTTGGGTTTGGTTTGGTTTGTTTTATGGCATACTAGCAGCATGGCCCGGCGTTGCCCGGGCTTGATTCAAAAATCGTACGACTCATACAGCAATCGCTACCACTTGACTTAAAATATTTTTGCCCTTCCTTGCCTTTAAAGTAGTGCCCTTTGCCGTGCTGATGTTGCTACATGTCTTACTTCTTGCCTATCTCACACTGCAAATTTTTTCTAAGCTCTATACTAAACATTAAATCTGTTACGAAAAAAGATCTAAACAAAATGAACACAAAACCATCAGCTTTAAAAAAGGACTCGTAACTGGAAAAACCGAATGAAAAAGAAATGTTAACAACAAATACTTTTTCACGCCCAAACCCAGTTCTGCGGAATCAGAATCAACGTTGAGTTTAAGCAAGCGAATGAGCCAATTGAAGTAAAGTGCCATGCAGATTTAAAATTTTCCCACTTGTGACGAATGCAGCTATCGATTTTTTTGCATGCTAGTTAACATTCGTGTCAGTCAGCTGTTGGCTCTCACGTTGGCCAATAGAATCTTCCTGCCTATTCGTGGCAGCCAGCTAAGGCTCTCACTCTGGCCAGTAGAAAATGGCCGCAAGCTACATGAAAAGTGCCGTAGAAGCATGAAAAAATCGATTATTTCCACTATCGATGGGAGTTGGGAAATGCAAAGTCGGTCTTGGCCTTCCCTCTAACTTAGAGCATGTGCATGTAAATTTTGGTGCAAATCCGTCGAAAATTGCGGCCGTGCATTCGTACACACACACACACACACACACACACACACACACACACACACACACACACACACACACACACACACACACACATATCCTGCCTTTTATAGATAGAGATTTTTTTTTTTTCAAAAATGTATTACTGGCAATATTTTTTTTTAAAAATGTATTGCTGGTAATTTTAAAAAAAATGTATTGTTGCTAATATTTTTTTTTTCAAAAATGTATTGCCTCTAATATTTTTTTTCAAAAGTGTATTACTGGTAATATTTTATTTTAAAAATTTACTGCTGGTATTTTTTTTTTCAAAAATGTATTGCTGTTAACATTTTTTTAAAAATATATTACTAGTAAATTTTTCTTATCAAAAATGTATAGCTGGTAATATTTTTTTTCAAAAATCTATTGCTGGTAAAAATTTTCAAAAAAGTATTGCTAGTATAAAACTTATTTTTATACTTTCATAGTTTTTAACCCCTTTTTGTGGGGTTGACAATTTGCCCAGAGCTGGAACCCTAACAGGTGCTACCACCCAAGGTTAGGGCGGACCTGGGAACACCAGAAATTAAGTGGTGGTTCTACGACCCTCAAAACCTTCTGATTAGAAGCCTTGCTGTCGGATGTAGTTTATCGTCTTACCCAGGACGAGGATGTAATTTATCGTCATACCCAGGACGTCCTTTTAGAATTGTGGCCTCTTGGCATATATATTTCCGTGTATAAGGAAGAGCTATTCAACTATTATTTGTATTTTTGCATAGGTGATTGGGCGTCATTAGCTAGTTTTTCTCTCATTAGAATAGCGAAAGTCGCCTTCTGGAAGCTAAGCAGAGTATCAAGAAACATGAAAATTTCGTTAGAAACAGAGAAAAGAGTACTGGACCGTTATTTGGTAACGGCCCTCCTGTAAAGCAGTGAATGGGGTAAAGTCTTTGCATAGATGGGGAAGAGGGTTGTCAACAGAAATCTGGTTCTACGGGAGGATGCTGGGAATACCGTCGTTTGAACATGCTAGCAACGAGAAAGTTTTAAGGAAAATGAAAACAAAAAAGAAATTATACTTAGAATTAGAAAGATAAATTTCTACGGTACATGATGAGAAAAGAGGACTTAGAGAATTTGACACTCACAGGATATATTGAAGGCAAGAGGAACGAAGGAAAGCAGTGCTTAACTTTCCTAACGAGCTTGTCAAAATGGTTAGTAGAACAGGGATTATGAAGAATAAAACAAAAATGGTTGGGGAGCCATTGTCGCCCACGTCTTGAACATACTGCAGGGATCTACATAAATGGAATAACAATAAAAAAAAACTTACCGGCGTAAGAGTTCCAAGAGCGTCCAGCTGGCAGACAAAAATAAACAGGGTAACCTAATACAAACCCTGCAAACTAAGAAATCATGCTAGTATTTATATAGTAATACTTCCACTCAGGGGCCAATCACTGCCCAAGCAATGGACTATCCCACTTTAGCATAATGAGATGTCATTGCACCAGCTCTGTCTCAATGTTGATTAGGCACAACTGAGTGTTTATCATGACCACAATTGTTCGACAATAAAGAATCTCTCGATATTTCAAATCAGAGGAAGACAGTTGAAATTTTTAGGTTACATAATGAGCAAATAATCCTCAAGGACACATGGCCCAGTGGATAAATACGTTGGTTATATCCAGTGACTAGACTGGATCTCAAAAAATTGTGAGTTCAATACCAGGCTACAGCAATTGAGTTTAAGGTAAATAACTGAGACATTCGAAAATGGCATAGCACATGGAAATAAAACAGACGCTGGACGAAATAAAGGGTTCGGTTCGAAATTCCAATCAGCTGAAGAAGGCTGGAGCGTACAACGGCCGAACCGTTGTGAATATGGCAATGAAGATAAGGATAACAATCCGAATAATGTAAATAATGCGAGTAATCATAAT